TATCAAGAACTTTTTTCTACATTCCAGTGACTAATAAAAAGAACATTCATGTAATAAAGAGAGAAATAAGAGATTTATGTCAAATTGCAAGTTTTTTATATTTTTTATAACAAGATCGATATTAAACCAAGAAATTAAACATTAGGAGCAATTTGGAAAACCTGACATTCGCTTTAGAGTCTAAAGTTTAGACTTCAGTCTTTTTTGTGTACGTACCTCTGCAACGTCTTGTAATACTCTTACAACTATCACATTTTCTAAGTCAGTGTGCAGGAGCGCACACACTAGCTAAGCAAAAATAAAAGAGATGGGATTTGATTTGCTAGATTATTCCAATTCTATATTCTTCGTCTTTTTTTTTTCTTTTTTTTTTCTAAGTTAATAATTATTGATGCATATGCGTGTCTCTCTAGGTACATTGTGTGTGGTCCATAGTTATGTATGGCTAAATCATGATGGTCATGAAGGAGGTACAAAAACACCTAGGTGAAACAGGAATAACACTATTTTGCTATTCCCGATCAATTGCGGCACGTCATACATGATAAAAAGAAAACTCAAGACAATTTGTTTATGGACAAATTACAGTTTGATAAGTTCATATGAACTTTTTTATTTCAATTCAAATTACTTATTTATATATGTGTCAAATTATGATTTATTGATTAAATAATTACAAAATGTTTATTTTTTAAATATCTCTCTATTGTGTGTGGGGGTTGGGTGGGTGGGTGTTTTGGGGGGAGAGGGAAGCATTTGTGAAGGTTTCATTTTCTGTTTTTTTAAAAAAATTCTTTTCTTCAACAAAAAGAATGGATATTAGAAGGAATGAATTCTGCTATAGACATTCTCAAGCTGAGAAAGTCCCCTGGCCTTTTGTACAAATGTTTAAGAAATTAATAAGGTAAATTTTTGACATGGGTCTTGTTTGAACACTCCCAAACGAACAAGTTCACAAGTGAAATTACCAATTTAAGAGTTATACTTTAAGTAGAGCTGTGGGTATAAAGCAACTCCACCAGCCCCAAAAGCCATAAACCTAGGGGTAGTGGTAAGGAGTCAGTTCAACAAAGTGAGATTCAGTTGGGTCATTCTTCTGTTCTTGAACTAGTAATGGGGAGAAAGTGGGGTTGCTAAATACAGAATCCTTAACACTCTTTTTTCTTTGGGATTACTTTTGATAATGTTTATCACTGAGTTTGTACTATATTTTTTTTCTAGCATCTTTTCCTGATCACGATTCTGCCACTAATTTTATTTTCCACTTCTTCTAGGGCATACAAATATTTTACACTCTACATGTAAAAGAGAGCTAGCTATAATGCTTAATTACTTTTGATTAGACTATTGGTAGATTACATTTTGTCACTGAGGTTCTAGTTTATCTAAGCAACCATGTATTTTAAAAGAAAGTGTTACTAATGGATGTCTACAACATCAGTTTATAAGATGTTTTATAACAAGTGGTTCATGAACTTTTGAAAAGTTCTTAAATCAATCAATGCGCTACTTCATCTTTTTTTCTCTATCACATGAATTGAAACAAGTACATTACCATCAAAATATAACTCGTTTTAGTTTTAAAACTCATGCTTTTGCTCAACATGCAAGGACATTTTTCTAAGTGCCCATTTGGCATTGCTTATTTGGGGTGATAAGTGATTTTAAAAAAAATTTGGGAAGTCCAGCCCCTTTGGTAAACTGTGAGAAAATCACTTATTGTTAAAAATTGCTGTGAGAGAAAGCTATAAGGGAAAGCAGCTAATGAGGTGCTTTCATTTTCTGATTATGCAAGAATCAGTTTTGAAGAGGTGCTGGGTTTAATGATTATGCCACAATCATTTTCTAATTATGAGGAAATCAATATCAACAACACTTTTAACAAAAAGTTTACCAAACGCCAAACTGCTTTATCTCACAGTTGATTTCTCTCACAGCAAATCTGACAACGATTATTTTCACAGCACAGCAATGCCAAACTGGCCCTAAATTTTGAGTTTCATGTATGGGTTCCATCAAGGAGAACAAATAGCTTTGAAAAGCAAAAACATGAAGATTTTGAGGAAATGTGACGAAATGACCAATTCTCACCTATAATTAGTGTTATGGGTGGATATGATGCATATTATGCTATTTAGACACACAACATTGACCACTTTAGCTGACCACCTTATGTGGCAATTGATGTGTCATATCAAGTCAATTAATGAATGTCGCCATGTCAATTAAAAAACAAATTAAAAAACCCTAGCGTTCCTAGTAAGTGGCCTCATGACAACATTCATTAATTGACATGGCATGACACATCAGTTGCCACATAAAGTAGTCAGCTAAGGTGGTCAATGTTGTGTGTCTAAATAGCATTACTCATGCATGATTATAGCCCTTTAAAGTTTGACATGTGTTGTTAATAAGTGACCAATTTTCAAGAAGATTTTATCGAAATGTAACGAAATGTGGACCAAAAGATTAAAGATCATGTTGATTGTTTTGAAAGTCATATAACTCAAATGAGGACTTTTGAAAACTTCAAGAACCATTCATGATAAAAACTTTAAATATATTGCCATTAAAAAATAAAAGGATTGTGCTAAAGCATGAACAGCAACAACAGATCACCACAAGAAAACATGTTTCGGCCTAGAAGTCAAGAAATTGAAAATAACTTATCATCAAGACTAGCATATTCCATATCCACATTCAAAATTAATTAGAAGATAGAACAGAGCAAGAATATGTATAACCATTGGTACTCTATGTGCTAATTAATCATAATTAAGGACCCTGGAAGCTATAGCTACATGATGTAGGGGTATTCCTTGATGTGACTGGACATACAGCATGATCTTCCTAATCCCATATGCCGGCCGGCCGGCCGGCCCCATCATGTTAAACCTTGAGCTAGCATTAATATTTAACAAAAATAATTGAGGCCTATCTTTCGGTCCAAAACATGGAACTTAAAAATTACGAAAGTTCGAATCTGGAATATAAAAAATATTAGGCTTATTAAGAGCATCGTCAAGACCCCACAAATTATTTCCCCAATTAGATAGGTAAAGTCACATCAAACAACGTAGTTCCAAGAGATTTCACAAACCAAGTCACCAAATTGGGAACCTCACCACTTCTTGCTCTTGCGTTTTTAAAGTGACTATATTTATATCAGAAAAAAGCAACAATGCATGTGATATAAAGAAACCAATTAATAAAGAAAAGAAATAAAGAGACTTGTAATTAAAAAACTATTTAAAAAAATACTGAAATTTGCAGTCCGTAGAAGTGTAAAACTCTTAAGTAACATATTTCTGTCTTCAAAGTGTCACGTACATAAATAAACTTGTATTTAAAGAGCTACATTTAAAGAGTCTCTTGAAGATGTTCTAAGAGCAATTTTTTTTTTGTCTATTTACAAACAAAAGTTGGGCGCATATGTGAAAGTGTTATTATTAATATATTTTTTTTGTTGAGAAATTCTGATATTACATTCAGAATTCATCCAAAAAAGCCATTAGCTACAAACGGCAAATAACTATAGCCACAAAGGGCCATTACAATAATGGAGAAATCTAACATCAAAATAAAAACAATTAGGTGCGCCTCCACTAACAATCACGCAGGACTAAAGATTCTTTGATAATGGCATTCCAACTAAGATTGCAAACTTAGAACTCAAAAAAAGATCAAGGTTGAAAAAATCAAGCCATAACAAAACAAATAAAACTCTCACAAAAGAGAGATGGGAAGCTCTCAAGTATAGGTGAAAATTACACAGAAAACACAAAGAGTCTATACGACTTATCCCAAAAAAAAATTGCAAAAATGCTGGTGATGGAGATTCGAAAGTAGAGAGAGAGAGAGAGAGAGAGAGAGAGAGAGAGAGAGTGTGTGTGTGTGTGTGTGTCAAAGGAGGAGAGAGATCTCATTGAGATTTGGCATGAAGAAGAGATAGAGTCAGCGGAGAGGTGAGAAATCGAAGGGGTACAGAGAAAGGCAGATCGGGAGAGACCCAACTGAGCAAAGAGAGGGATATGTCACACACAGAGAGAGAGAGAGAGAGAGAGAGAGAGAGTGAGTGTGTGTGTGTGTGTGTGTGTGTGTGTGGAGAAGAAATTGCATCTTATAAAGATAACACTATTTTGCTATCTCCATCCAACTCGTTCCGCCGTGTGAAATCTTTATTACGCAAGATGGAACGTGATTGGTCAGAGATAATGACATGCAAGTTTCTCTCATGTGTGAGATAGATAAAAGATAAAGGAAAGATAGACGAGCAGCAAGGGGAGAGGGAGAGAGAGAGAAAGAGAGAAAGAGAGATATATATAAGACATAAGGAGAGAGATAGGAACATAGGAGAGAAAAGTAAACTTCAAACAAGTTCAAATACATTGAAATTCCTAGTTTTATTTGTAATTTCAAATTTCAAATTTGGTCTTATTAATTCTAAGAGGATTTTATGTAAATTGAAATCCATCCAATAAAAGTGAACCAAATATCCAGATCCAAACTCGCCCTATTAGATTTCGCCCCCAAACAAACCAACTTTAAGTGTGGAGGTTAACGTTGTGGATCATCCCTTGCAAAAATTAAGAGATTTTCACAACAACGCGGAGCTTAAAAAATTAAGAGAACTTCACATTCAAGTCCCAAAATAGTGTCTAAAATATAGTAAAACCCAACACTACCCAAACTCTATAAAATAAAAAATATAAAAAATATATAAAAAAAACCCAGGTGACTTTTGAACAATACAAAACAACACATAAAATCCTACTATTTATGATACAACCACCGCACCCAAAGCTAACTCTGCAGAAGAAGAAAATCAACAGAAGCCAGGCCACTTTAAAAAACACAAAAAAGAACCCAACAAATTCTACGGATGCATTGAATGTCCCAAGACCAATGGCATCTGGCCAATGCTTCAAATCATAAACCTAGCTCACAACAATTTCAGTGGTGAAATACCGAGAAGATCTTTGACAACATGGCGGTCAATGATGGCTAACAAAGATGACTCCCCAGCGAAGGTCAAATTCCTAGAATTTTTCACCGCAGGTAGAGACGGGGTTGGTTTTTCTTTTGAGGATGGTATAACAGTTACCAACAAAGGTTTAGAGATGGATCTGCTAAAGATTCTATCAATCTTCACCTTGATTAACTTCTCCTGCAACAATTTCAGTGGAACAATACCTAAGGAAATGGGAGAATTCAAATCACTATATGTCCTTAACTTATCCGGAAATGAGTTATTTGGTAACATGAGGGTACTCGAGTCCTTAGACCTGTCACAGAACAAGCTGAGTGGGCAAATTCCGCCAAAGTTGGCAACACGGCCCTTATTTTGTAGTTGCATTCCAAGAAGATGAACAATATTTGAACATCCATTCATTTTAACACGTGCTTGCAAAGTTCACAGCTAGTTTTTCTTTGTTGTAAATGGCTCAAATTCATCCCGAGGCACGACCATGCAATTTCACAATTCAAACTATGGATGAGTCATGAACCCAGAAATTCAGCGACTTATTCAATAGTCAATAGTCCCCTCGTACTTGGTCAAACATCGAATAAAACAACCTACATACATTTACATTGCAACACCCCCATTAAGTAGACGGCAAAAAACTTAAAATTCAACAAGTCAAGCAAACCACAATTGTTGTGGAGACATTTTCCACAAAATTTAATTTAAAGCCAATCCATCACTATCTCAGTTTTCCTCAGCGTCTCTATTTCCAAGACTGCTGAAGCCACATTTGCAAGTCACTAAGCAATCTCATATTTCCACGACTGCTGAAGCCACATTTGCAAACTATAATATCCTAGCTTAATCTGTTCTTCACCACATTTGCTGTCACGTATCAGCAGCCAGCCAGAGCTTCCAATGAGAATTCCTCTGTTTTCATGGCTTTTCTTAATCCTTATTTACTATGTTTCACTCAGCGTCCATGTATTTGTGGTCTCTAGCCAATGTCCCAGCGATCAGAAATCTTTGTTGCTTCAGTTGAAGAACAGCCTCAAATTTGACTCTACATCATCTAAAAAACTTGTGAAATGGAACAATGGCTCAGATTACTGCTATTGGAAAGGTGTGTACTGTAAAGATGGCTGTGTTTCCCATCTCGACTTAAGCGGCGAGTCAATTTCAGGTGGACTTGATAATTCGAGTGCTCTTTTTGGTCTGCAGTACATTGAGAACCTGAATTTGGCTTACAATAACTTCGAATATACTCAGATTCCATCCAAGTTCGACAAGCTGACCGGTTTGAGTTATCTGAACCTGTCAAATGCTGGCTTTGTGGGGCAGATTCCAAGTGAGATTTCACACCTGACGAGGTTGGTAACTCTTGATTTATCTACCTTTTTTTACGTTCCCGGAACTCCTTCACTGCAACTTGAGAATCCAAATTTGAATGTACTCCTTGGCAACCTTTCTGAGCTTGTTGAACTTCATCTTGATGGTGTGAATATATCAGCACATGGGGCTCAGTGGTGCCAAGCTATATCATCTTCACTGCCAAAATTGAGGGTGTTGAGCTTGTCCGCTTCTAATATTTCAGGCCCTTTTGATAGTTCATTACTGAAACTTCACTCACTCTCAGTTATTCGTATAGAGGAAATCAATTTGTCTACTCAAGTTCCAGAATTCTTCTCAAATTTCACAAATTTGACTTCCTTGCGCCTCAGCAATTCTGGGTTACATGGTATATAAATCCTAACCTTTTCAGTTTTTTCCCTATGAGAGAGAGTTGAAAAGAGCTCTCTTTAACTGCTAGTCTATACCTCTTTTTTGAATCTGAAATGGGCTTTGCTGGAGAAGGGCTGGGTGAGACAGTGAGAGATGTAGGCGGAGCTTGTTTTGAGAAAAGTGGTGGAGTGAGCGGAAGCATTTAGCAATTTTTTTTTTCTCATGTTCAACAAATTTTTGATCAAATGGCTCCGAGCCTAATTCAAGAAGTTGTACTTTGTCATCAAACTCAACTTGAATAAGTAGATTGCTTTTGTTTTCACCTTTGCACAACAATAAAGCGCATAAATTGTAAATTGAAATAAAGTTATGTTCTTGTATTAAATGAAAGAGCGCAAACTTGCATTTGAATCTACAATGAAGTTAAAATTATGTTACATTTCCTTTTCTTACACAAACAACTGAAAACATGAAAAATATGACTATATGAAGTGAAGACTGGTTTCTTTTCAAATTCCTTGAGAGGACAATCAAATCTTAATTGGTTGAAAAGTAACCAATACCACAAAGAGAAAACTAAATAAACACAACACAACTCATTTCAAAATCCATATGCATGCAAGATAGTGTAGACCAATGTCAAATGTTTTATAAAAAAAACAAATTCCATAAAATCTACAACAAATCCTATATAATTAGTTAATCCAATGGGATGAATTTGTTTGTGGAAATTAATTCAATGGCCCATAATTGTGATTTGCAACAAACCATTTGCAGAGAGGAGCAGTTTGAACTTAGAAGACAACTTAAATGAATCAAAATCTTCCATTTATGAGTGGATTATAAAGCATAGAAAACCTTATAGTCATATAAAAACATAACAATGATTATGCTATAGCAGAAATATTATTACCGAAAGGGTGGCGTTCGTAGCACCAGTGGAACTCTGAAACCAAAGAACAACCTCTGCAACATCACAAATAAACAAAATGAGTAACACACACTTCTAAAAAATATATATATATATAATGTGACACGTAATTTCTTAGTATGTAATTCATTATTTACATTACAGCGAGAAAAGCTTTGAGTCTCAAGTGTCTCTTTCCTATCTCTATCTACAAAGATAAACACACACTTTTCCTCCCCTAATTTTCAAATAAATTAATTTATATTAATGTATACAGCAACAAAACTAATTAGAAGAAGCAGCCAGAGTATAACTATTTGAATAAATCGCATAATTTGCTTTGACAATAACAACAATACTGAACATGGCAATTGGCAAGTCACAATCTCAATTATTAACAAATTTTCAATAGATTCCTAAAAAATAACAAACAAAGAGCCTAGAACAACTATTCATTCATCTGTTTTCTGTCATAAACAAACAAGAATTTTCATGTTTCACCAAAAGCTAACAATTCACCTTTGCACAACAATAAATCGCAGAAATTGTAAATTGAAATAAAGTTATGTTCTTGTATTCAATGAAAGAGCACAAACTTGCATTTGAATCTACAAGGAAGTTAAAATACTGGAATAAGATTCCCAAGACCAAGAAAACAATTTTAACAATAATACCCACACTACTAAAAAAAAACCTTTGTGCGAAAAAAAAAAATTAGTTGCGCAAAGTGACTTTGCGCGACAAATACAAATCATCGTCACTCAAAGTCTTACGCGACTCAATTTTGCGCAACGAAAAACAAATCGTCGCACAAAGTGACTTTGCGCGACGACAAAGATTCGTCGCGAAAAGTAACTTTGCGCGACGAATAATAGAATTCGGTGCACAGAATTATTTTTAAAATTTTTTGGATGCCTTTGTGCGACGAAATAATAATCTTCGTCTCGCAAAGTCTTTACTAAAATTTTTAAAAAAAATTAAAAAAATTTTGGATAACTTTTGCGCAACGAAATAATAATCTTCGTCTCGCAAAGTCTATACTAAAATAAATAAAATAACAAAATTATTTTGTTAGAAAAATATATTATTGTAGTTCGGATTGGGTTTTTGTTAGAAAATATATATTTTAAATTGACGATCAAATTGGTTCATTGTATTCATATAGGGTCAAGGAATGTAGCTGTAAAAAATCATCAAAATCGAAATTGAAATAACCGTTAAATCATGATTTTTCGTTTATAACCGTCGAAAAGTTTTGTCCTATTACTTGATCTTTGAATGTTTATTTTTTCCGATTTTTGGCGTATATGATCTCGAAGTATAAATAAACAAGTTTGACGGTTGGATCGTTGAAACTAGTTTCGTAGAATGTGTATTCCATCAAAACAATATATTCACTAACAATTAAGAGTTTATAAACTTTCACTAAATACAATATAAGATTTTGTAGTATCCACTAGTGTAAATATTTTCAATTGAAGATCAAATTGAGTCATTGTATTCATATAGGGTCGAGGAGTGTAGCTATAAAAAATCATCAAAATCGGAGTTAAAATAACCGTTTAATCGTGATTTTTGTTTATAACCATCGAAAAGTTTTGGCCCTTTACGTGATCTCTGACTGTTTATTTTTTCCGATTTCTGGCGTATACGATCTCGAAGTATAAACAAACAAGTTTGACGGTTGGATCGTTGAAAATTGGTTTCATAGAATACATATGCTATTAAAACAATATATTCACTAACAATTAAGAGTTTATTTATACTTTTGTTAAATATAACATAAGATTTTGTGGTATCCACTAGTGTAAATATTTTAAATTGACGATCGAATGCAGTCATTGTATTCATATAGGGTCAAGGAGTGTAGATATAAAAAATCATCAAAATCGGAGTTAAAATAACCGTTTAATCGTGATTTTTGTTTATAACCATCGAAAAGTTTT